ACAACAGGGAGGGATGAGCACGTGGCACCTGTTACTAGGCAACAAGGCAAAGGGAGAGACATAGCATCTGGCGCCCAAGGTGGTACCTGGAATCTGCAGGGAGGCGCCGAAGAGGACCAGTCAGGTGGGGCTTCTTCTGGAGCCTGAGCCTTAACAGCCAGGTGGCCCTCTGTTGCCTTTTCAAAAGCTAGATCTTTCAGGGCCACCCGCAGAAGCCGTTCTCCACCTGGAAGAGAATCTTTGTGTTTCAAGGTGACTCCATGGGCCTGATAAGGTTTTTTTCATTGTCAGTATCATTCGACAGGAAAATACCCTTTCCTGATAAAGACAGAGACTTAGAAATCTGAATGCTTTGACAATTTTAAGCCTGTGTTAAATTGAACAACTAATGTCTTTTGCAATTCCAGCTCAAAACTTTATTTTTTTTCCCATTTATTTTTATTAGTTGGAGGCTAATTTCTTTACAATATTGTAGTGGTTTTTTCATACATTGACATGAGACAAGTGCTCGGGCCTGGTGCACTGGGAAGACCCAGAGGAATTGGGTAGAGAGGGAGGTGGGAGGGGGGATCGGGATGGGGAATACATGTAACTCCATGGCTGATTCATGTCAATGTATGACAAAACTTTAGAACAAATGGACAGTCCCTCAGTCGTGTCCGACTTTTTGCGACCCCATGGACTGCAGCATGCCGGTATTCCCTGTCCATCACCAACTCCCGGAGCTTGCTCATACTCATGTCCATCAAGTTGGTGATGCCATCCAACCATCTCATCCTCTGTTGTCCCCTTCTCCTGCCTTCAGTCTTTCCCAGAATCAGGGTCTTTTCCAATGTGTAAGTTCTTTGCATCACGTGGCCAAAGTATTGGAGCTTCTGCTTCAGCATCAGTCCTTCCAATGAATATTTAGGACTGATTCCCTTTAGGATTGACTGGTTTGTTCTTCTTTCAGTCCAAGGGACAAACTAAATGGACAGATAATTTTTAACAGATGACACACAAAAGCCTCCACAAAGAGAGGTGTGTATATGTGTCTTCTTTCCAGCATTTATAATTATTATACATTTATGAACAAACTTAGGGTTACATTAACCTTAACACATTCACAGAGCAAGGACAGCAGCTTTTTTGTTTGTTTACAAAAAACAAACAGTTTTTGTACTTATAGTGAAAGTAGAATTGATTGGTGGGCGTGACTAAAGAGAGAACAGCACCGAGGCTCTCATGAGTGAAGGGCCGTCATTTGTCCAGGGACCATCACTAGGGATTATTTGACCTCACAGTCATCGGGGATGAGCCACTTTTCTGCCACCGTGTTTTTTTCAAATTCATCCACATGAAACTTAGTAAATCCCCACTTCTTGGAGATGTTGATCTTCTGGTGGCCAGGGAACTTGAGCCTGTCCCTGCGGAGGGCCCCAGTCACATGCTCCTTGTTCTGCAGCTTGGTGCAGATAGACATAAAGACTTGGCCGGTGTGGACACTGGCCACTTCACCTTGGGGCTTTCCAAAGGCAACACACATGCCTGTCTGGAGCCTAGACTGGGTCCAGCATGCCAGTCATGAATGTCCATTGGAAAGGGCTGTCTCCAAGGTCCCTTAGGGCAACCTGTACAGACAACAGGCCACATACACTACCAAGGAGACTGCTGTCTGCAGCCACTGCCCACTGGGTTCCCAGGGGGAGAAGAGTACAGGGCTGGAAAAGCAGTTTATGTTTATAAAACCCTTCCAGATCAAGCCATTTGATGGAAATTTCATATACCACTCAAAGATGTTGCACTTTTGCCTGTTGAGATATTCTATATTTTTTCAGCTTTTTGACTTAGTATCTGGAGATGTCAACTCATTTATGTCCTCATTTATGGTATCTGGTATGTGCCCAGTCCCTTCTATGGCAATTTTCCTACCTTGATGGAGAAATGCTAGTCCTGATCAAAGTCAAATTTGGGTTGATTGAGAGGACAGTCTCACCATTTTCTCATGTGACTTTTGTGTCTGGAATGACTAATAAGCTAATGCCTAATAAGCTACTATTGAAGACCTGTAAGGCAAGAGTCTACACAGAGAAATATCTTCAAACAGGCTGCTCTGTTTAAACTCACCTTTGGCTGAACTTTCTATTCACATTTTTTTCTTCATTGATCTTCATCATAAAAATGTTTCTAACTCAACATTAAAATAATCATTATGGAAGATCTTAATTAATAGTGAAATGTCATCATCATTGCAGATATTATCTGTGGTACCATATCACTCCTGAGTTTAATATGAACATTGAAAATGTTTTTCATTCAGTGTGGAATCTTAGAAAATAATACAAACCAACTCATTTACAAAACAGACACAGATTCACAGACATAGAAAATAAACACGGTTACCAAAGGGGAAAGGGGAGGGAGAGGGATAAATTAGGGGTAGGGGATTTATAGATACACACCAATATATATAAAATAGATAACCAACAAGGATTTACTATATAGCACAAAAACTATATTCAATATCTTATAATAACTTATACTGGAAAATAATCTGAAAAGGAATACATATATACATATACATATAACTGAATCACTTAAAACTAACACAATATTGTAAGTCAACTATAGTTCATATTAAAAAATAGGACTTCCCTGGTGCTTCAGTGGATAAGAATCTACCTGCCAATACAGGACAATGGTTTGGTCCCTGGTCTGGGAAGATTCCATTGCCTTGGGGCAGCTAAGCCTGTGCAGAACTACTGAGCCCATGCTCCAGAGTCGCAGTCGAAACTCTAGCGCTGTAAGTGCTGAAGCCGCACACCTAAAGCTCGTGCTCCACGACAAGAGAGGTCACCCCAGTGAGAAGCCCTCACACCACAACCAGAGAGTAGCCCCCACTCGCCACAATTAAAGAAAGCCCTCGCGCAGCAGCAAAGACACAGTGCAGCCAAAAATAAAGATAAAAATAAAAGAAAATAAACTGTCATTCATCCAGAGCTGTATTGTCCGTCTCTCTCGAATTCACAACAGGGTACAGTGGACCTTGCTTCCATCACTGCCCACAAGCAGCCTGAATAGATGGGCACTGGTGACCCACACCTGGCCTCTGAGGTACGCCCTCCGGCCGATGGCGCCGGCCGCCTAGGCTCCCTCCCCCACAGAACCAGACCTCCCAAAGGAGGGGCCTGGCAGTGGCTGCCTGCCAGGGGAACCGGCCAATGAGGATGTGACTGGTTCTGGAAAACCCCAATCTACTCTGTGGGAGCTTCTTCTCCAGCACTCAAACTCCAAGACTTGAAGTCATGTGTTAAACCACCCTTCTAAAGTGCATTCTTTTAAGCACTCCAACATTTACATCATCAATTTTCTAGACACAGAAAATAAACAAACCAGCATGAGTTTAATTCCACAAATTCCAAAATGCTTGAGCCTGACAGCACCATAATGCAGTAACTCATTTGTCTCCCAAATTGATAACTCCCTGGAGATATGTGAAGAAGCAAATGGATATGTGATTTTACCTGTAGAACAGGGACATCAGAAAAACTCATCTAAATATGCCTTTCAACCTACATCCTTGCACTAACTAGCAGCCTGACATCAGTTATTTTAACTAATTAGGAAAACATTTTGATCCAACAGTATTTTATGCATAGTGGTGGGGGGAGAGGGGGACTCAGTAAATATTTATCTAGTGTTATAGCTGGCAAGGATAGTTAGGCACGTGTTGGATACAGAACACAATTCTAGACTTGGTGGTGGGAAGAAACAAAAATGATGAGAAGCTACGGTCTGTGCAAGCACAGGTTCATCACCACGTGTCCTTCTGTCTGGGGAGCTAACAGGGTTTATGAGGCTGTTCAGACCCAACTCATTAGGAGTGAGTCAGGTACTGGGACTAGAGTCGGCCAAGAAACTGGTTTATTAGCTTCCATGAGTTGCATATGAAGACTTTTAAACCTTTCTTATATGGTTATCAACACAGTGCCCTTCCACGTAAAATAAAGTCCCATTAAGGAATCTACAGGACCGCATCACAAACTCCACTCCATTACTCTTCCTGCCTCATTTTAAAGCACAAGTGATGCTCTTCTTTTAAACGGAAGATGCTGATGCTCATTCTTGGCAGGAACACCCAGGTTAAGGACTAGGAGCCCAGGTCAGCCTAAGGAGCAATGAAGTAGGGGCTCTGCGAGGTAGTATTGGAGTGATACAGTTGTTCTCTCCAGGATGTAGTGCACCTAAGAACTGCCTGGGAATCCTGCTGACACACGGATGCAATAAACCTCAGGTGGGCCTGGAACCCTGCATTTGTAACAAGCTCCCAAGTGATGCTGGTCCTAGAACCACATTTTGAGCAGCTTGCTTTCGAAAATACCCTGGAAAACTAAATTAACTGCTCTGCACTGGAGCTCAGAAAGAGAAGAGCAGATGAAAATAATACCAGAACTCCCAAATGATCTCATAAATGTGTCATTCACCAGAAAAGACTCCTTGTTTCAATATATGTAAATAAAACAGGCGGTACAGCTAGATTTTTAAAAAGCAAGAAACAGCCACCACCTAGCTTATTAACTGTTTTTACCATCAGAGCCTACGGCTGTTATAACATAGACGGATAGTGCAATGTATTCATAATCCTATCTTATTTCAAATTAGTGCCTATTTCCCCCCTAATAAGCTTCACCACTTTCAGCTTAACTCCTAGAAATGATAACTCAGAAGTGGAGAGTGTTCTTTTTACTTTAGATATTTATCTTGTAAATAAATACAGACGGGGCCGCCTGGAATCTCTTAAAGGGTCCGGGCTGTTAGTCAACCTCAGTTCTTTCATCAGCAGTGCTACTAACTAGCTGGTTAGACCACAGGCCTCCTCTGAGCCTCAACTGCACATTTGTGCAGTGAGAGCCTTAGAAAAGATGAGCCCCCACCCCGCCATCAATCCAGGCCCCTGACCTCCTTTGATTCTTTGAGGTCACCAATGGCAAACATTTAACAACTTGATTTGAGCGGATTACCTTGGATTTTCTAGAAGGCCCCCTTTCTTGCATATTGGTCTCCCAGGCTTGTCCTGCAGCAGGCCCGGGACCCCCAGGGCAGCCAGCGCCGTCTGTTCATTTCACGATGTCGACCGCCCCCTGCAGGCGCTCCGCGGGACTGACTCTCCTAGTGGTCCGCGAAGGTCTCCTTGGAAATAGACTCCCTCTTTCCTCCAAGTGGACACTGGGACAGGAAAGAGCAGAACAGAAAATAAGTGTCTTTTTCGTAAGAGGAGCGACAAAGGCCAACTAACAAAGACCCAGAGGGGAGGAAGGGCCCTCAGGGGTTGGAAAAGGGAAGGACAGGAGGCAAGTCTTAGCTGTCCCAACAGCGGCATCTGTAAAGGGAGCTTTGTTTACATACTGTCTAATCCTCTAGCTTTTTGCTTCCTACACAATGCTTATCAGAATCTTGGGATTTTCCAAGGCAGAATATGCATATCTATATGTTACTATCATAACAGAGTACACTTTGGCCAGAAAGCTTTATATCCCTCATTATATGTAGGTAAATGATTGTTCAGTGCTTGTCTATAGAAAAGTTAAACCATCCTCAGTAAGCTGAATATTATCTTCCCATTTCCCCTCACTCAAAGCATAAGAAATTACTATAATTTACCGCAGCACAAAGGTAATAAAAGTGGGTGGAAGTCGTCTTTTCAACATCTAAGCACATTTCTGGGAGAGCTTTTGACTGCCAACAGCCCTAATTATTACCATCTTTGTACCTAATTGATTTAGTCACAGTCCATGTGGTCATTTGAGTACTATTTGATTCTGATGATAAAGGATTAATGGGCCATGTCTCCATTTTGCTCACAAATGCTTTAGAGTGTGTTTCTGCCTTGTATTGTAGGCAATTATGCTTTCTGTGCAGAATCTGTGAAGTTAATGATTCTTCACATTTCCTGAAAAACGTTTTTTTTTTTTTTCCTCCTTTTTGTTCAGATGAGTGGGTAGTTACTTTCTCCCTAAATATGAGTTTCAGAATCATTGTATTTCTACAGCTAAAGCAGATGTAAAGCATAGCCGATGAATGTGCATTCCTGTGTGTCTCATGAGACATCGAAATTGTGATTTAAGGACTTCCCTGGCACTCCAGTGATTAAGACTCTGCACTTTCAATGCCAGGGGTATGGGTTCCATCCTTGACTGGGGAAATAATATCCCACATGCCACTCTTGACAGGGCAAAATTTAAAAATAAAAATATTTTTTTTTAAATATTGTATTTCAAGTGCTTTTCCTGTGGTTCCTTCATCTTTTTTATGTCTTAATTAAGGCATCAGTGTGGCTATAATGGTAGTGGCCACTGAAGTGTTAGAATGGCAGGGGGCAGAGAAACAGAATCCAGTTACTAGAAACTACCTGCATCTTCCAGAGAATAGAGAAAGAGGACAGTCCCACTGTCCCTCAACTCCTGCCTACCTCCCTTTCCAGACCACAGCACTGAGCCACTCCGCAGGGAGATGGAATATTCGAGAAGCCTCAAACAATGGTGCCTAATCAGCCCTCAAGCCCACACCCATGAGTACATTCTTGGTATTTATATGCATTACAAGTTGGTCACCATGCTGAAGTCTAGTAACCATCCCTCAGTGCACAAAATACAAAGTTATTACAATATTATTGACCGTATTCCATATGTAGGGGCTTCCCTCATAGCTCAGTTGGTAAAGAATCTGCCTGCAGTTCAGGAGACCTGGATTCAGTTCCTGGGTAGGGAAGATCCTCTTGAGAAGGAAATGGCAACCCACTCCAGTTTTTTCGCCTGGAGAATCCCATAGACAGAGGAGCCTGGCAGGCTAGTCTGTACTCTTAATCCCCTTCACTTTTGTCACCCAACCCTCCACTCCCCTCCCCTCTGACAAACACCCATTTATTCTCTGTATCTATGCATCTGTCTCTATTTTGATTTGTTTGTTCCTTTGTTTTTTAAGACTCCACATATAAATGAAATCAGATGGTATTTGTCTTTCCCTGTGTAACATTTCATTAGCATAGTACCCTCTAGATCCATCCATTTTCATGGCAATTGGCAGGATTTCATTCCTTTTTCTGGCTGAGTAGTATTCCATTGTGTATATGTATATATACATATATATGTGTGTGTATATATATATAAATATAAAACACATCTTTATCCATTCATCTGTTGATGGGCACTTAGGTTGGTATTGTACATAATGCTGCAGTGAACATAGTGTGCATATGTCTTTTCAAATTAGTGTTTTCATTTTCTTTGGATAAATACCCAGAAATGGACTTGCTGTATCACAGGTACATGCTTAAGGCGTGCATTACTCATTGCCACAGACACAGACGCTGTTTTGTCATGGCAGGAGTTTAAAAATATGGAGATTAACTTGGTTGTCCTTATTTTCAGGTGTGAACATAGTTCCAACATTCAGCTTAGGACGAGGTGAGAAATCATGTTATTAGTTTCTTCTATGTTCTAACCCATTCATTGTCTCAGGGTAGAATTATTTTTTAATTAAATTTTTACCTTGGCATAGTGTAGATTCTCATATAGTAATAAAAATAATACAGGGAGATCCCCTGTCCCCTTTACACAGTTTCCTCTGATGAAAACCATCTTGCAGAACTGTAGTACAATATCACAGCCAGGATAGTCAAAATACAAAACCTTTCACCATGCTCTGAGGATTCCTCCAGGCTGTGCCGAGTGATCTTGCGTGATAAGGGTGTACCACAGTTTGTTTAGTCATTCAACTGTTGAAGGACATCTGGGCTGTTCCCAATTTATTATGGATAAAGCTGTGATAACATTCCTGTGGAGGCTTTTCAGTGAATATAGGCTTCATTTCTCTAAGATAAATTCCCAGGAATACAATGGTTAGTCATATAATAGTTGCATGTTTCATTTTTGAAGGAGCTGTCATACTATTGTTTAGAGTGTCTACACCATTTTATATTCCCACAAGCCATCCATGAGTGATTCTGTTTCTTTAAATCCTCATCAGTACTTGTGGTCATTATTTTTTCTTATATTAGTCATTCTGATTGGTGTGTAGGGCTTTCTCATGGATTTCATTTGCGTTTCCTCAGTGGCTTCTGATGTTGACTTTTTTGTTGGGCTTATTTGTGAAATGTCTCTTTCCATCTTTTGCCCATTTGCTGGTTAGGCTTTTTGGGTTGGGTTTTAAAGGTATTTTTTAAATCAAACTATAAGTTCTTTGTCTTATGTGTGATGTTCAAATACCTTCTCATGTCTAGCTTTGTTTTTTTACTTTAATAGTCTTTCACAGAAGAAAAGCTTTTGATGAAGGTGAATTTATCAAGTTTCCCTTTTATGGATCATTCTTTGTGCCAAATCTAAGAACCTAGTCTTGAACCCCAAAGATTTTCTTTAATGTCTTTTTTCCCCCTAAAAGTCTACTTTACATTGAAGTCCAGGATCCATTTTTAGTTTATTCTTGTGTAAGCTGTGAGACTTAAAGTTCAAAGTAAATATCTATGGATGTTTACTCCAACACCATTTATGAAAAGGCTATATTTCCTCCTTGAATTGCTCTTGCACTTTTGTCAATAATCAGTTGGACATATTTCTTTTGGTTTATTTCTAGATTCTCCATTCTGTTCCATTGATCTGTGTGTCAAACTCCCCACAAAAAGAGTAGAGTAAATCTCACTTTACTCTTAAAAATTATTTTAGCTATTCTAGTTCCTTTAACTTTCCATGTAAATTTTAGAACAGTCTTGTCTATATCTATAAAAGTATGTGATGTTGATAGGAAATGCATTAAACCTGCATGTCAATTTGGGGGAAATTGACATCTTGACTATGTTGAGTATTTAAATTCATAAATGTGGTATGCATCTGCATTTATCTAGATCTTCTTTGATTTCTTTCATCAGTGTTGCTTAGTTTCCAGTATGCAAGTCCTGCACATGTTTTGTTTACAACATGTGGTCAGACTACACCTAAGTATTTTAAAGTGATTGTAAATGGTGTTGCATATCTACTTTCAATGTCCATATGTTCAGGCTGGTATTTAGAAATACAGTTGATTTTTTAGCATCTTATATCCTGTGACTTTGCTAAATTTACTTACTAGTTCAGGAATTTTTGGCAGATTCCTTGGGATTTTCTATGTTGGCAATCATGTCACCTACAATAGGGACGGTTTTATTTCTTCTTTCCTAATGTGTATGCTTTTTGTTTCCTTACTGCACTGGCTAGGACTTCCAGCATAATGTTGAGTAAGAATGGTGAGAATGGACATCCTTGCCTTGTTGCTAGCTGTAGGTTTTTTGTAGATAATCTTTGTCAAATTGAGGACGTTCCCTTTTATTTCTATTTTTCTGAGAGGTTTTATAACAAATGAGTTGTTGTCATATGCATTTTCTGCATCAGTTGGTAAGACTGTGTAATTTTCCCCCTTTAGCTTATTAATAAGGTGGATTACATTGACTGATTTTCAAATTTTAAACTAGTCTTGCATCTGTGCAAGTGGAATACCCCATCTAAGTAAAATAAACTTGACCTGCTCTTGGTATATAATTCTTTATATATGTTGCTGAATTCTATTTGCCAGTGTTTTGTTAAGGACATTTCTGTCTTTATTCACGAGATCTGTGGTTTTCTTTTTCTGCTTTTGGTATCAGGGTAATGCTAGCTCCATAAAATGAGTCAGGAAACATTAACTTCCCTTCTGTTTTCTAGAAAAGATTTTGTATAATTGGTTTTAATTTGGTTTTAAATTTTGGTAGAATTCTCCTGTGAAAACACCTGGGCCAGATATTTTTTTCGGGTGAGTTTTTAATTAAAAACTTGATATATTTATGAGTTACAGTTCTGTTGACTGTTTAATATTGGGTGAATTTGGTCCTTTGTGTTTTTCAAAGAATTGGTCCATTTCATAAATTGTCGAATTTATCTGTGTACAGTCATTCATAGTATCCCTTTGTTATCACTTTTATGTCTGTAGTGATGTACTTTGTCTCATTCCTCATAATGATGATTTCTTTTTTTTTTTTTCCCATGTTTTTCATAATGGTGATTTCTGTCTTCTTTTATTCATTGTTAGGCAAGAGTTTGTCGAGTTTATTGATCTTTTCAAAGAATCAGCTGTTTCACTGATTTTCTATATTGTTTTTCTCTCTTCAATTTCATTGATTTTTGCCCTTATCTCTATAATTTTCTTCCTTTTTTAAGAATTAT